TGTGTGTGTGTGTGTGAATGTGTGTGTGTGTGTGTGTGAATGTGTGTGTGTGTGTTGTCTGTGTGTGTGTGTGTATGTGTGTTGTCTGTGTGTGTGTGTGGGTGGTTTTTTTAACCGAAAATCTTGACTACACTGGTTCAGCATATTGATCAATGAGTAAGTTTAACTGGAATAAAGGGGAACGCAGTCACATTTACTCCAAACAGATTATATCGCACTCATTCACTACACTACCCATTTTTATATCTTAAAAGTTAATTTCCTCTAGATTGGCCAGACTGTTCCAGAAAATAACAACTGACTCTCAGCTCTTTTTACAAGAATCGAAACTTTTCTCTCTTCTATCCCGTGGTTGGGGCAACCGTTGGGGCACCACTGCATTGGAAAACCAGCTCTCGCCATCTATTTTTGTCCTCTGCTCTCCTCAGATTGTCACCCATCGTCTTTCCTGTCCACTCTGTAATGTTGTCCTCCCATCTCCTTCCCTGCCTTCCTCTCTTTCTCTTTCCTTGTACAGTTCCCTGCAGGATTGTTTTGGCAAGTCCTGAGGATTTTGTGACATGCCCATACCATTTTAGTTTTCGTCTCTTCACTGTGGTCAATAGATCTTCATGTTGCCCCACTGCGTTGTTGATTCTCTTTCGTACTTCAGCATTTGTAAAAACAGGGTCAGTCAAAAAGGCATAATATACTCGTAGGTCTAACACCTAATTCACACTACCAATCAAATTCATTCGATTCAGACGGGACCAATCAAATTTTTCTTCATGGAGAAGCAAAAGGTATCAATTTGACACAGTGCAAACGATTCGATTCGCAACCTTGAAAATAAAACGTTTTTAATCTAACCCTATCCGTACGTCGTGTTTTACCATCGTATCCATACGACGAGAGGAACTGTGTGCCACCACTTCTAAAGAGGAAATTTACTCGTTAATCCGATCCGTACGCTTTGCATAGCTGTCTGTAAAAACGAATTTTTGAGAAATGCTGAAGGTTTCAAAGAGTCTTCGTACTAGAAGTATTCTAAAATGTGAAGCATACAACCCCAGGGGTACAAAATGACCCCAGGGGCATACAGATAGGGTTAAAGCCCGCAGTTGAACATAGCTGAGTTGGATGGAAGTGTGACAAAATGGCAACCGGTAAGCCATCCATGCAGGAAAACCTGGCTGGTCCTTATTGAACAGGTATGAATTCGACACCTGAATAGACATAAGAGTCTTGAACATCTAGCTCTCACTGGTAAAATTGAGGGCAAGAGAGGCAGGGGTAGGCCCAGAACAACATACTTAGGGAACCTAAACAAATGGGTAACAGGGAAAGATCAGGGAAAGATCAGGGAAAGATCAGGGAAACGTAGCTTTTTTTTAGAGCATCCGAGCAAAGGAATGAATGGAAAACCATGATCGTCGATGTCTGTCGCAGATCTGGCACTGGATGATGAAAGTTCAACACGTTACAATACCCAATTAAAAACAAAGTTTTAAAAAAAATAGATTTTACTGAAAACCGTTGATGAAAGGCACAGAAAATGTAAATTCACAGCATATAATGGACACTCAAGCTTTGGAAGCCACCAAACTTTAGTAGCCATTTTATCTCTAATTAAACCTCTGAACCTAGGCGACAGCCACCTCTTTCGCCAATGTCTCGACCTCTTTTCAAGTAAGAAGGGGTATTTTTTTTTCTCTAAAAGCAGAACAAACGTACAGGTTTCAAAGTGATGCTGTACACAAGATCACTCAAATAAATGACTTACAGTAACCTTGCAAAGAAATTGCTCACCCTGAGACAGCGACACCACACTGCCCCCACATTTCAGTACAATCTTGTACGTTATAACTCCATAGTATGTCCCAAAATTGACGAGCGCCTGATCCCAGCGTGTCGTGACACATATTTATTTAGGTCAGGCACTTTTATCGTACATAATATTACTCCGCAGAGTGCGTGAACAGGCTGTCTATCATGGCGCGGAGCTGTTAGCTTAGCCCCTACGACGGCATTGTTCATGACCAGTCTCTCCTTGTTCCTCCCCCGGATCGCCCGATCTGCTTTGACCACGCTCTTATTTACTTTGTCAGGGACAAAAAATTTGTCTACCACTTTGGGTACTTTTCTACTTGTTTGTTCGCCGTGTTAGTCGGATAATCGCAGCTGGTGCTTCGTGCCTCTCGCTTGGGGCGCCGAGAAAGTTCGGTTCCCGCTCGATCGACAAATCGGTTCGGCACGGTGGGTTGAGTGGAGGCCAAGGACCTTACGGTAAAACCTCCTTGGTGGACGCACATAAGGGCGAATGTATATATATTTATATATTATA